AACTTAAAAGATTTCGGCTGATCTAGCAGCACCGAGCCCCACTAACCTTTATCTCTCTTCGCCAATAAGACCCTTTCCTAAGGCAATCCCACATCGGAAGAGAGTCGTATTCCCCCCTCGCATATAAGCCCTTACACTCAAAAGAGGAGGTACCCAGCTAGTGCGTACCTCCTCCATAGGAAGTGTTCACTTATATGGCAAGGGGAGGAGACGACTCTCTTCCGATGTGGGATTACCTTAGGAAAGAGTCCTATTGACAAAGAGAGGTAAAGACAACTGGGGCTCGGAGCCGCCAGATCAGCCGAAATCTTTCAAGTGGAGGGATGAGATCCGTAGCGATTTCTATCCCTTATAAATGTGAAAGAGTGGATTTAAACAGAGTAAAAATTTATAGTTGGCGGGGCATTCTTGCACAAATTTTACAGCTAATAATTTTTGTTGGCAATTGCAAAACATTTTTATTTTATCTCGATGATCTAAATCTACCAATTATTTTGCCTATTTACTATCGTGAATAAAATTTTCAAATATACAAATATTAATTAGTTAGACTAATTTTATTTCATTTACCATAAATTTGGATTAATTAAGCAATTTAGCATACCAAAATCATTAATATATTAAAAAATATTATAAATTACAAAAAACTGAATTTATTTACTTTGATCCAAATATATGGAAAATTTTGATTTTTGCCAATAGTTGTGAATGTATTAACAAAATTCACGACTCCGATTTCTATTCCTGCTACGTAATACCGTTATACCCCATGTCTCTTATACTGTTATCGATACCATTACATTCCTCGTTCAGACCCGATGGTCTGCATGTGTTTGTAATAAGTGGTCTGCATGTGTTTGTAATAAGCTGTCAAGGGCTCCAAGCCTCCAAATCTTTGTTTAATGTCTCTCTCTCTCTCTCTTTATTGTTATAAACATGCACAAATTCACAACACACGAATATGTCTAATTTAAATTATGTAATGTAAGCTAACTGTTAATAAAAGCTCAAATGGGTTTGATATTTTGAATTACACAAATGATTTTGGGAATAATCAGAGACTTTTTTTCTGTTATGCACTTTGAGGACTGATATACCCATTAATTAAGCTTACATTCAAGTAAAGGTAGTTGTGTTATAGAAAACAATGGTTGACCACAGCCTTAAAAGCAACTGCAGACGAGCTTCAGGTTACGGATGAGGCTGGCAAAGATCCCGCGCTTGATGGTTCCTCGGACTGGAGTCACGAAAGGGTACATGTTGATATTGCTGCTTTTAGTTTCAGCTTTGCACTCCTTGTAAGAATTTAACTTGAAACTTTCAGTTGGCTCCATTGCCTTCTTGTCCATAACTGGGATTGGGGTGTGTGTGTGTGTGTGTGTGTGAGAGAGAGAGAGAGAGAGAGAGGAGGCCAAGTTGGGGGAAAGAGAAGATGGAAATGGGTTTAAATAGAGAGGACGAAATTATGGTAATAAGAGAGAAAGAAAGGAAAGATGGGGATAATTGAGAGAGGGAGGGAGTGAAAATATGATATGAGAGAGAGAGAGAGAGGAAGGACCAAGTTGGGGGAAAGAGAAGATCGGAAGTGGGTCAAATAGAGTGGGAGGAAATGGTATAGAGTCGTAAGCAAAAGGCATAGAGCGAGAAAATAAGAGTTGTCTAGAGTAATTTATTGTGGATCAATAACAACGTGGACAATATTAGGGGGAGGAAATTAGGTTCGGAAGAGCTCTTATGGAACAATACGCAACTCTTCCCGTCGTCAGAAAATTATATTTAAATTCTTTCTAGTTTGTAAGTTTATGATATTTAGATTTTTTAAATTTAAAATATTACAGTTAAACAAAAAATACTCTAATCAAAGATAGAATATCAAATATTTTAAATTTAACAATTAAAATTTATATTCTATTATGTCATTTATTGAAATAAAATAAAAATAAAAATCTATTAAATAAATGGTCAAACTATAATAGACACAACATCTTTTATCTTTAATTTGATTGTTTAATAGATTTCATTTTTCTTTTAACAAATAAATGGTTTAAGTATAATATTTTAAATTTAAGAGATCTCAGTGTTTTATACTTGTAAATTTCAAGGGGTCTAAATCTAATTTACTAAGTAATATAGTAACTGACATTAACGATAGATATCTAAATATTACACACGTATAAAGTTCAAGAGGTTGTATGTAATATTTCAAATATCAAAAGATCTAAGTAATTAAATAACAAATCTTAAGGGATCTTAATATAATTCTTCTGTTTTTTTTTTTTTTTTTGGGGTACTGAGGGAGGAGGCCTTTGAGGAGCAATAATAAAGTGGACAGTATTAGAGTTGTCGTAAGCAAAAGGAAAATCAAGAGATAAGAGTGGTGTTCAAAGTCTCCCACCACATGGGCGACTAGCCGACTACATCGTTAACCCCTCAACTTAGGATCTGTCAAACATAATCCCCCACTAGCCGACTACATCGTCAACTTAGGATCTGTCAAACATTATCCTATATTTAGGGAATATAGGATAATCTTGAATACATGGATAAAATTTAAGATTAAACAGAGAATAAAGATAATATTAATTTTAATCAAGCGTTGTAAAGTACAAGACTAAAAGTTGGATAATAAGTATCAAGTCTAATAATATTTGGTTAGGTAAGTTATTCAATAATATTAAATGTTTGGACTAAAATGCTCTCAATCATCTCCAATTTGATCTCTTATAATTTATATCTATATCTATACTACTAATAAAAGTATATTAATATAAAAAACTTTTGATTCTCTATTTTACCCTTATAAAAAATTATAAAGACCATCCTATCATTTCACAATTAAATATCTAAACTATCTATTATCTCCTTATGTATTTCAATCTCTCAATTACCTCTAATTTCTCTTTTAATTATCTATTCTCTCTCTATAAATATCAATTTCTATGAAACTTTTTGATTGACTCTATTATCTTTAAAAAATATGCATTATTATCTTTAAAAAATATGCATCATTACATTTTCAATAAAGTGTTCAAAACACTTTTAAAAATTTCATCAATTTAATGTTACTCATCTCATATGCAAAGAAAAGATAACATTATTTGCATATATATTTTTTTTTATTTAAAAATTTTAACCATTTTATTTCTAAGATAAAAAATAATTATATATATAATTTTTTAAAATTAATTTATGCTACATCAATATAATTTTTTAGTTTACAATAAACTTTTTAAGTTATATTAAAATTTTATGTGAAAATAGTTTGTAGTTTATTCTAAAGTAAAACTTGATTTTTTTAAAATTTTGGTATGTTTTAAAATATATTATAGAGTATTATATTCAATCTTATTCTAATTGATCTAACTAATTTTTAATTATATTAAAGTTTCAATATAGTTATGTAATATATTGACAATTACTTTTATTTTATTCAATGAATTATAAGTGAAATCCTAATTGAATGAATTTCAAAAAATTTAATTTATCAAACATTATTAAAAAGTCACTCTTAATCACAAAATTCTAAAAAAAAAAATAGTACTTTAACTATTTTTTTTTATTTTTTTCTAATAATTAGAATAACGAATTTTAGAAATATATTAAGTTTTCATAATCCTATAATAGAATATGAGTAATGAAAAATTAAGTCTGATAAATTTGAGATAATATTTAATTAAGATACACATATACTAATGTATTATATCAACTTTTCTGCATGAAAACTATTCATATGCAACACACGTGGTATATTGCTAGTTTATATAATAAGGGAGTTAGCATTACATGTCTTTAACTTTTCGTGGCCGAGATCGCTTTAAAATTATTGATCCAACAATCCTAATTAGAGGTATTCAAATTTTCGATTGGATGCAATTTCTTACCCTACTCGAACCTACCCTACCTTATTGAATGGTTAGTTGCAAAAATCGGATAGGAATGCAGAAGAGGTTTTGGTCTTCCGATTAAATCTGGTAGGAATGCGAAATACCCATCAATTTCCGCATTCCTATCCGCAAAAAATATATTTAAATTTTTTATATATTTTTTAGTAATTATAAGAGTATTTGTGTAATATGATTTATATTATAATATTGCTATTATTGTGGATGTTTGAGTTTCTAAAACATTGACTTATTTTTTTACGTAGGTTACATGATTTGTTGTGAACTAGTGATCTATTAGAGCAGTTATAATTTTAATATGTTTCATATAATTTAAATTTAAAATAATTGTTATTGTAGTTGTGTAACAATCATGATAAATTGATGTTCATGTTTTCTTGTGTTTTATTGTAATTGTTGTTATAGTTATTTTAGATTTTAGTGTCATTGATTTATTGTGTTGTTAAATTGATGCATATTATTTAATTGACTTATTAAAATGATTCAAAAATTAATAACTACAAAAATATTTACTCGAATTCCTACTCGATTAATCAGGTAGGAATACCACACATGATCAGGTAAGGTAGGCAAAAAAAAAAAAAAATTCACAAAGTATCGAGTAGGAAGACGAAAGATTTTATTTCGTATCCATAGAGTAGGGTGAATACCCCTAATCCTAATTACTCTCTAATTTATTTTCCCACTGGAGAATTGAATTAAGAATTTCATCTCATGTCTAATTCTACACTCCCATCTCCCACACATCTCTATCTCTCATCTCCCACACATCTCTATCTCTCAGGCTATCTCATATACGTATCCTTCTGTTTCTCTCTCACTCTCACTCTCACTCTCATATTCAGTGATCATGCATTCACTCTCATATATATATGCTGGTGAGTAATATTGCTCCTCCACTAATCTTAGTTTTATTTCGTGTTTTAGCATTTTTCTTTTTAGCTACATTCTGATTGCAATTTTTCATATTTTGTAGGTTAAATGCTTTATATACTCCTTATGAGTTTGACTGTTATCATTTATGACGGTCATTTCTTGAGGTTCTTAATGTGGTGTGTCGAAGGAATATAGTAATAAATTTTATAAATGTTTCTGCAGCTATTGTGGGACTACAAGCTTGCACCTCAGATATATCTGTTCTGATCGATCTAGAAACCATTGTTTTGCCGGAGGTCATTTCCATTTTGAATCAAGCTTACAAACTTGATCATGACTGGCTCCTTGTTTCTTCATCACGTTATGTTTCCGACTTCCCATTTCACTTGGATGCAGATGGGAAACATTGGCAGGCAGATGACGGTGCAATGATCAGAAACATAGAGGTATGAAGGAACCAAATATAGAGTTTTGATTGGACGGGCAATGGGACAACTTGCACTAAAACTATACTCTTTTTCATCAGTTGCAGGACATACTTGTTCAAACTTGGCAGTGGAAACGTTGTGAACCGAGGATGCTTATGGCATGGAACAATGGAGATCATCCTTTACATACTGGAGTCCTGCCTCCTTTCTTGCACGGAAAGGGGCTCCACAACCACTTATTGTATAAGCGCTTATGTTAATGACATTTTTTAGATGATTTTACACCAAGTTATTTATTAGATCTATTTTATTTGTTTATACTTGTACATCTTTGTTAATGTGTATATCTATTAACAGAGGAAACATGACGATTAAATTTTTTAAGAAACATGTATTTATCAAATATATTTTTAAAATTTTTTAATTTAATTAGTTTAAAATTACACCAAATTACTAAAAATTGCACTAAATGTATTATTAACTCCTACTCTACCATTTTTTGGCCTTTTTTTATCTAAAAATCGTTGATTTGTACCCCCTCTTTCTTCACCTATTGACAATCTTATCTTCTCTTATTTTTCATAATTTTACCTTTCCACTGCTATTCATGTTTTAGCTCAGCCCTTGAAATGATATGCAATATTTATTTTTCACCAACTAGCCTCAGCATCTCATTACATCCAATAATTAAAAAAAAATACATGCAAATCAATATTGACCAAATCAAATTGAAATATTTTTGTTCATACTTAACCTAACATTGACCAAATCAAATTGAAACATCTCAGCTAGAAAAAACTACCGTCTCATGGATTCACTACAATTTTCACTCAATAGACATTCTATTTATTATGATCAAATTCTTGATTCATGTCTGATAGATTGAGAGAATTTGAACTTTCTATAACATTGTTGGAAGTACCCTGCAAGATTGTCATATTTTTTTTGTTAGTTTAGGTAGTACATAAGAAAATACTTTAAGTTAGATGTTGGAAACATACCTGACTTAAATGGGGCATAGGGAAGTTTGTTTGTAACAAACTTGTAAAGGCATATTTGAGTATTGAAACATCTGCATCTGTATCAACAATAGATAATAACAATCAAAATACATACCTGACTTTAATGAGTTTATTTTAATTGTATATAACCATTTGACAAAAATACCGAATTGGTCACTTGCATGCTTGTATGAACATTTGGTGTTGTCATACCAAACATGCGAACAAACTACAAAGAATGAAACAATTAGTAATTTAATAATACATTTTCAGACAAAAAAAATATAAGATTCATGTGGATAAAAAATTCGTTTAAAAATATAATCATACCTGGTTTTGGTAGTTTTCACTCATTTGCATCCCAAACGAATGTAAAGATGAAGCACCTAACATAGATGATTGCATTCCTAGAATAAAAAAGAGAGAAAATTAAAGTATTCATTGGAAAATTAAAGTATTCATTTTATATTGTAAAAATTATTTTTACCTGCCATAGCATTAGTTGGTTGTGGTATTTGAGATATGCTCACATCTGCCTTTTTAGACTTATTTTTTTTCTTCTCCAGAAAACCTTTCATTCGACCATATGTGTGACCTTTTTTTCTCAATCTCGGCGGATCCAATATTGGAGTCTCATTTCTTGATAAAGAAATATTTCTATCATCTTCAAATGTATCATTGTCGTTGGATATTGCATTAAATTTTATAACTTTCTCAAATATATTGTCCATATCATGATCTGCAATCTCAGTTATGGCATCAGAATTAGCACTCAAATTCATAAGACTAAAGACTTTGAACATTAACTTGTTGAGCCGCACTGTTTTTGCTGAGTTTCCAGTAGTATCCAATAGTGGAACATTCTATCTATCCATTACAATCCCATGCTTTGCAACTTTTGTTCACCTCCTCAATATATATTGTTCGGGAATTTTATTGACGCCATTCAAATTTAAAACTCTCAATGCGTGGCGGCACAACAATCCCAATGACTGAAAATGCTTACAACTACATGAGAGTGAACAATCAGAAGAGTTAAACTGTATAATGTGTTCATGATGACCACCCTCCCTTTTCAATTTATACGTGTGCAGTGCATCAGTACAAGTGGATTCAACTTCTACTTCAGAAAGAGATTGCAAAAACTCGTCTGAAACACTACAAATATTTTATGCGTATATACCTTACATGCATGTCGAAGAAGCCCACTACTACAAGAAATAATACGAGGTTTTCCATGAGCACAATTGTGATCATTATTCACTTCAGCCTCGCGCATCTTTTCAGCATTTTGTTCATAGTGATGCACAAATTCAGTATGACTCATTGTCTTGCATGTCATATGTTGGAAAACATTATTTGTACTTTTACTCCTTTGACTAGCCCGAATGTTGCATGAAAATGTATCACGGCTAAAGACTGGAGTCCATTTTCGATGAAGATCATATAATTTCCGACGCCATGACTCATTCAAACAACCCCATTTATCAATCATTTCTGCCCATTTTTCCTTAAATTCGCTTTCACTTTCACATTCATACAAGAGATATGAGAAAATCTCCCTAAAACCAGATTGTTGATAAAGACCAAAAATATTCGAAGCAACATTTTTTGAGATATGCCACTGACATAAGCGATGTTGTGTATTAGGAAGCACCCTTGCGATGGCATTTGCCATCGCATGGTCTTGATCAGTAAAAATAGTCTTGGGTGCCTTATAATCCATAGCTTCAAAAAAAGTTTCAAACAACCAAACGAATGAAGCTGTTGTCTCATCACATAAAAATGCACAACCAAATAATACATTTTTCCAATGATGATTAATCCCAACAAATGGAGCACAAATCATGTTATATTTGTTCGTACGATAGGCGGTGTCAAAAACTACAACATCTCCAAAACGTTCATAATCCAATTTTGATAATCCATCCCTCCAAAAAAATTTTGCCATTCGATTCTCTTCATCAACTTGTACAGTATAAAAAAACATTTGCTCTATTGCTTGCTTGTGCTTGAAATAATTTATTAAACTCTGTCCATCACCAGCTTCAATCTTTTTTGATCGTTCAACTTGTATAAAATTTTGACAATCACGCTCAGTAAATCTAACATTTTGATAACCACCTGCTTCATTTAACAAGTATGCATATGTCTTGGTTGCTCTTATTCCAGCTTCAGTCATGGATTTGATAACACCCTTACTTGTGTTATGCATTGTACGTGCAGACCTTATTAAATGTCTTTGGTTTGGTTCAACAAATGAGTGATTATGCTCGGTGATTAATTGACTAATTGTATAAACACCATTTTTCACTTTAAACAACACTCGAGCCCGACAACTACACCTAGTTTCTAACCTCTCCGCCTTCTTCACTTGAGTTGGATATGTAAATTCCCTAAACCCCTCTTTTGAACATACAAAGCTACGACGAATAAGTTCACCAGTGTTCCTTTTAAAACTCTTTTGATCTCTTCGAATGCTGAAACCATTGTTATATGCATATTTGTTATACATATTAAAAGCTTCTTCTTCACTATATGCAACCACGCCAACTTTTAACTCAAATTCATTACTTTGGCTACTCAACACACCATTTGGAACATCAATATTGCCATAACCATAGTTCTCTTCAACATTATTATCATCATCACTTTGGTCTACACATATTCAAAAATAATAAAAGACACTATTTTAGTGGTGCAAATAATATTTATCATTGTCACTACATACCATGCATACCAATTTGTAAACAAAAAATTGGAAACGAAAATGAATCCTAAGTATCTCAAAACAAAATTTAAATTACACATACCAAGTTGTACAATTTCTTTTCCTTTTCTTGCCGTCATTGTTGAAATTTTAATAAAATAATTGCTGAAAGATAAAAATAACAATTAGAATTAAGGTCATAATAAAATTGATCAACTAAAATTTTTAAATCAAAAAAATAATTGATCTTTTCCATGCCGACATGCTGATACACATACACACATGACACAGATACATGAACCCACACAAACACTACACATGCACATTGCACACAACACCCACATGGCAGACTATTCCTTCACAGTTCACATACAGATTTTGTTGATGCAGTCATCTCATGCACATACACATCATAATCCACACAAACACCATACATGCACACAACACCTTGAAAAACAGAGGACACAACCCACACAAAAGTAACAACCATAATAAAAATATAAGAGAGAAAAATACCTTTCATGCCGGAAAATATGATTTATTGAGAAAAATGGTAGAATGGAGGTAGAGAAATTAGATGGCCTTAGAGATGTGAAAGAGAGAGATTTGAAGGAAAATAATAAGCAAATACTGACTCCATTCAATATTGTGGACGGCTAAAGTGAAAGAAATGCAATGGAAAGAGAAAATCTTGAGAAGAGGAACAAACGAAGCCGTTATTTCTGTCTACCAACTTAGCCCATTTTAATTACATGACAATGTTCTGATTTTTTGTTGACGTGGTCACTTTTGATTGGTAGTGAGCATCATGTAAGTATGCCAGCTTGGTACCCTATGAGCACAGAAAATTTTCTCGGCTTAAATGAATGAGAAGTGAGAGTTTTGGGACATGGGTGGTTGAAATGATAAGTGGTCAGGAGTACATGTGATAATTATTAATTTTTTAAACTTTTTGTTTAAGGAGATTCATTTCTTTTTCCCATATTTTTTAATAAATGTCTATTTGTTTCGAGTTTGTGTATGAGTTTTATATATTTAATACGCTTTTGTATAGATAATAGTTGCCCTTTATCAAACTTAGGTTGACGGTGTTATGCAAAAAGTTTGGACAGACTTAGAAGAAGTCATTCAGATCGTATGGCTGACAGCTATTTACACAATTGTATTATGGGTTTGACTTAATTTAACTTAAAAAGGCAAATTCAATTCAAGGGAATGAATTTTGATATGTTTACTTGGTCATTACGAATTTTTTCACTTTTTATGAGAGTTTTGCCTATTTGATTTATAGAATTTATTAGGAGATATTTTTG